CAGAGCCCACCATCAGACAGGTGACAGGGAATGGACCTAAATGAGAGATAGAGACAAATAAGAGAATGACAAGAAAGCATTGCACATTTATTCAGTATTTATTTAGACATTTTCTATATGCATAAAATAATTGCACGGATTGCTATATTTGTATATAACACTGTGCAATGCATAGAATACAGTATCCATTATGAATAAACTCAAAGTAATATTATCCTTTTCATTTTCTTGAATCATTATTTTTATTTAATTGCATTTCAAGCAATCAAGACATTTTCTACATAAAATTGGATTAGATGACAAAATAACCATATGCAAGATAATAACTGCATCCATTTTTACAGAATAAAACATGCATTTACTGTTATATACTGAAACCGTTTCACATAAAATAGTAAGTAGAATGCATGCAGTAGATCTTTTTTAAAGGATTACTTATTTGATACCACTAAAAGCCATAGACCTACCCACAGAGATGTGTCTGGATGTGCCCAGCACAAAGTATGTAAGAATAGGAAAAAACGCAGAGTAGAGTCCATAGACTGGTGCAACAGAGGCCAGCAATGCATAAGCCACACCTGTACAATAAATTCAAATAATGACGTTGAAATGGCATCATGCTGATACTAAACTGGGGTTTTGTTCACAGATTGCATCTTACCTTGTAAACAGCATACTAGTCCTGTGGTGACCCCAGAAATGACATCACCGGGTAACCATTGCTTGACTGGGTATTTAGGAAGCCAATCCAGGATTGGCAGAAGCCCCTTTATCTTCTGAACAGCCCATTTATCAGTGCATCTGTGGAGAATTCATTTTATATGAATGAATATGAAGATGAAAACACTCGATGATATGACATCAAGTGCTTCTCATATACTCACCTGCAGGCTCTGCTCAGCCGTTCTCGTAAACTCTGGATCTCTTGGGCTTGTCTCTCATGAACCTGGTAGATACATCGTGACACGTGGTAATTGTTTTCATGAAAACACTCGTCCATCGTATTGCCTGATTTGTTTGTCTGTGAAAATCTGCTTGGGTTGTATCTCCTCTGTTAGAAAAAAAGAAAAGCCGATTGATTAGATTTCAGATTAGTTTCGATTTGCTGCTGCCAATGAAAATGTAAGCACACATCATGTTATACATAAATCAGTCGGATTGTAAATTTTCTACCTGCTGTCAACGTTTCATTTTCTTTCTCTCTTTTTCTAGGATGGCTAGTCCAGATAAGCGAACACTTACAGGGTCTCGCCTCCCCTGTGTCAGAACAATCTGATCGAACAGACCAAAAGAGCCCTTCTCCCTTTTTCTGGCTGTACCTCCTTGTTCAATAGACCAGCTCTTCCAGGTCTGCACTAAGATCACTGAACCCATTGACATCAGAAACCCTTCCAAAAGTTGGGAGGGGAACCAATCTCCCTCTCTGAATGAGGAGGTTTATTTTAGAACTACACGTACAAACACAATGGAAAACCTTATCCTGAAACCACTTATTCTTAATCAGTTTCACTATAATATCAGACGACACTGATGTTAAATGAAATCCTGCATTTATTCAAGTGTATTTGAATACATTTATTTCTTATCCATCAGTTTAAACTAACATACTCATTGGTATGAGTTGATTATGAAGCCTTACCTGTAAGGTTTTGAGTGAAATTTCACAAGAATAGGGTGCATCCATGCCAGACGTACACTTAAAGGCACATTTTGTCCATGTCTATGAAGTCGGACTCTCTTAATGGGGCCAGCATCCCTCTCTTTTGTATTTATAAGCAGCGTTGGGATGTGGGAGGTGTATCAGGGTTAAGCACCAACAGGAAGCATGAGGGAATTACATCAGAGGCCCACAGCATTCATCCTGCCAAGGGTGACTGTCCCTCCCAATCTTGTTGGAAAGCATGTGTGACTGTGTTTGTGATAGAAAGGGAGTGAGGGGGGTCTGTGATGTGTCAAAGGTGGGCTGTGTTGTATGTATGTACATGTTGATCAGTGCAGGTGTGACTGAACACTCAAGAAAGAACGATATGCTATACGCACAACACAATCTGACCTTCTTAGTACAGATATGGCCTCTCCTAAGAACATGAGCCAGCTCTTGAATACATATTGTCTGACGATCTGTTGGTAAGCCAGAACTGAGTAAGGTTCATCATTTGTCTGAAACATCAGGCTCTTTTTGGCATAGTAATTCTTTTCGAGTTTCTTCTTAGTACACTTGTGACGTAATGGTGTTTACTTTCAAAAAATATTTTGACTCATACCTCATTTTTGAAAATATTGAAAGGAAACAGTGAGGCCTTTACAATGGAAGTGATTAGGGCCAATCTCTGGAAAATGTAAAACCAGAAATGTGAAGCTTATAATTTTATAACAGCATTTCTTTAATTCTTCTGTTAAAATTTGTATTTGAGCTAAAACGTTTAAATCATAATCTTTACATTCATTTTATTTTTTTTACAGAATTGCATTTCTTGGTGACAAAGTTGTACAATTTAAATTATATGAAATAAATTGAACTTCTACACAGAACAGTGATTTTTGTTTGTTTGTTTATTTGTTTTCCACCTCACTAAAATCATTTTAACATGTATATTCTTTACGTCTCTTGACTATACTATAAGAACAGTAAGTATTTTAACGTTTGTGGATTCACTTCATTTTCAGTGTCTCACTGTAACCAAGATTTATGCCTTTTTATAACAAAAAGGAGGAAGTCGAAAATAATCTTGTGGTAACCAGCATTATGCCACAAATGCTGTAGAATGAGCGTAATTTATATGCCGTCTGGGGTTTGTGTGTTTGTGTATTATATAATAAATTATATTATATTATAATGTTCATTATATATATATATATATATATTATACACATATGTAATAGATTAATATTATTATAAAGATATAATTCTATAATGTATAACAAGTGTACATTATCATCACCTATACTCCGATCTTAAAGCTGTTTTTTTTTTCCTTGCCTTAAGATGTTCTTATAATCTTTATTGTATATTATTTGAAAGTGACATTTGACATTAATACTGAACAACTTAGCAACCTGGAGTCCAACTAGGTCAGCTGTCAGTCTGGGGTTTGTGTATTAAATTATATTATATATCAGAGCTCTGCAAGAAATAATTAGTCAGGTAACTGCATGTGATATGAAAGTGACATTTGGCATTATAACATTATAGTTCAAGGACTGTTGTATCTAACACCACCTGATGTTATAACACAGGCATTATTTATTCTTCTACATTACTTGCGGTCTAAACTGAGGTTTTAAGATCACCAGCAGTAACTGTCCCCTCCCAGCTGGTGCATTTAACTCAGTATTCAGGTTGTGTCTCAAAATCTAACAAGCTGCCTATAGACAGCATTTTGGGCATCGCAGAAAGGTTTCCAGTCCTCAAATCTGCGTAAAGCGTTTATGATGAGCAAAATGCTAAATGTATGTGACTTGAATTTGACATTTATGCTGAACAATTTAGCAATTTATACTGAACCTGGAGTCCAGCTCAGCTCATATTGCATTATATATCAGCGCATCAGAGCTCTGCAATAAATATTTAGTCAAAGTCAGTTAACTGTATGTGATATGAAAGTGACATTTGGCATTATAACTTCATAGTCCAAGGACTGTTGTATCTGATGTCACCTGATGTTATAACTTTAGACTTGGAGGAAGCTTCTGAACTACAATGTGGAATTTTTTTTTTACACGTCTCTCACACGTTAGTTTCCTCTTATATACTGGCCAAGATAGTCTTGAGGAAGAAAAACTCAGAGGTGCACTTATAACTTGCTTCATATGTTATTCTTTAGATGGACTTGGAAACTTTCCCTCTAGTGGTCTTTTAATTTACTTTTGCTGCTTTTATCATGTTAGATGACTATGAGTCAAGAACAGTATCTGTATATTTATTAATTAAGATGACTAAGCCAATATTGCAGAGTACAGTTTCTCTGACTTCTTAAAGTAGCTTTGTAAGACTGAACAAACATGCAGTACTAGCAGATTCACTCCCACCTGAGCTGCATGAGTGAACCTTGACCAGAGATAGAAGTGCTTCCACTCATTACTTTCACACCCACAGAACACTTAACCTCACTTAGTTAACCTCATTCACATGCTGCCCTATGCACTGCAAAAAATAAAAAATAAAAAAGTGACTCTTTCTGCAAGATTTTGTATTCTTGGAGAAAAAATAGCATTATACAATCCTTGTGCAAAGTTACATCGTTATGCCACAAGCTATCATTGAATTATTCATGAATCATTCACGACTGAAAGTCATTAAAATTGTGTCTACAAATATACTGAGATATTGCCCAGTGTTGTTAAGAGTCATAAACGTTTTTGAAACACACACAACTGCAGATATCATATTTTATCACTCTGTTTTGACTTTCATGAAGCTATAGAAAAAAAGAAAATATAGCCTAAATAATTTCATAGTTTCACTTTCATCATTTTACTGTGATGTTCATTTCGTTGGATTAAAATATTCCAGTTCTTTCCTCCACAGAACTGCTCATTCAGGTCAAATAAGTTATATGTTTTGTATCTTTATCACAATTTGTAGCCATTACCAATTAATAGAATCATATTACGCTTATTGAAGTTGTAATTTCATTGCCTTCTAAACAAAAGGCTACTTAATAAGAATTGAGAAGTTTTGTTGATTGTGGTACTTTAGGCCTAAATGACACCTTATCATGTAATAACGACGTTATTTATTCTTCCACATTACTCACGTTCTAAAACGAGGGTTTAAGTTCACCAGCACTAACTGTGCCCTCCCAGCTGGTGCATTTTATTCGGTACTCAGGTTGTCTCTCAAAATATAACGAACTGCCTACCTAGACTGCATTTTGGGCACCATAGACGCGTTTCTGGCTGCGGTACAGCTCTGCTTGGAACGCGTTTACGATGCGCAATATGTTGCATGCGCCTGTGTTACCCACAATGCTGCCTAGGTAGGCAGCTCGCAAGGTTTTTAGGCACAGCCAGCGTCTCAGTTCCGCAATGCAAAGCGGTATCTCTCTCAGAATGTAAGCAGGATGTGTCATTACTGGCGTTATGGATCTACAAAGCGAGCTGCTGAAGTCCATCTGGTACGCGTTCACGTCTCTGGATGTAGAGCAGAGCGGAAAAGTGTCCAAGTCGCAACTGAAGGTCAGACCACCTGTGTATCTTTGACTTGACGTGTTTCAATGTGTTGAAGTGTCGTTTTCTTTAACTCTAGACACTACATTGGTTACTTTTGTATTTTATATGTACAGTGTAATAATGTTTTCTACATTCTTGATGGGTAAATGTGATGTTTTATTATCAAGAGTTTGGTACTGTTGCAAAGAAAGGAGCAAAAGTCCAAATAGTCATGCCATATCAAACGCACACACATACACACATTGACACGTTATCTAAATGGGGACATTCCATAGATATATATTGTTTTCATACTGGACTAGTTATAAAATACTAATAACATAACCCTGACTCACACCCTAACCCTTAAGAGAAGCAAAATACAGCATTTCTATAATTAAAATAAATAAAGAAATATTGTGTCAGATTTAGCTCACTTTTGGTAGTTATTTGTCACCAAAATAGGGTTAGGTGAGTACACACACACCGCCTGATGCAGTAATAAATGATCTCAGATAGTCTTAAAGCTGATTTCTTTGTGCCATTTGTTTTAATGGATATTGATGGGGGAATTTAATAGCATCACTGGTTGGTGAGCTTGAAAAGAAATACCAAAAGACACAGTCAGTATGCGGACAGCTTTGACAGTCTTTCTCATGTTTAAACATGTCCCGGGTGAGCCCTTTGCTTAAAATTTCAGCATGAACAGACATGCATCCGGACTTGTTAGACCTTACACAAAGCATTTTTGCAATTGCCTGCAAATTTTTGTGTGTAAAAACTATTATTGCACATAATAAAATGTCATTCTGCTGATTGTGTGTCACATGATATCAGCACAACGTCCCTTTAAAAAGGCTTTTAAACCCTTTTTTTTCACAGCTGAAGAGTGATATCGTATCGGCCAAAATTTTCATATCGGTGCATCCCTAACTAAATGACAGCAGGTCAGGCTGTTTCAAAGATCTAACTTCACTTTTCACAGCCATTTTTGCAATTACTTCAATACCCAACAGGTTTCTAGGTGATTTTTAGTGGATGTACTGTATAAACTAAAGTCAGTTCCCCTCCAGTTCACACAGATATCCTAGCATAGTAACCACGAATTAACATTGAATATGCATATGTTCTACGAATGTTTGACCAGAACGTGTTTTTGACTGACAGTATTAGTCAAATTGTGGTATCATTTACAAACTTTTTTCCTAAAATATTTTGCTTTAAATATGTGCTTATGCTGTCTTCAATATAAATGCCATTTGGTCTGTTGTTTTGTTATAGATTTTTTTTAAGTGTGTTTTTGGCGTCACTTTTAAGATAACTGGTAGCTCAGTTATATCTAACACACTAGGCTGCTTTCTGACCTCTTGTGTGTGTGTTCTTGATTATCTGTCATTGCGGCTACCAAGATATAAAACATAACACATATGTGTTTCTCCACTAGGTTCTCTCGCACAATCTCTATACGGCGCTGAATATTCCTCATGATCCTGTGGCGTTAGAGGAGCACTTTAAGGACAATAACAATGGGCCTGTGTCCAACCAAGGCTACATGCCCTACCTCAACAAATACATCCTGGCAAAGGTCTGGTAACTCTCTGTCATCATTTAATATATTATCTGCAAGTACAGTTATACTTTTAAGATTTAAAGTACACTACAAGTGCATATTCAATATAATTAAGCATACTTCTTTTTCACAAGGGTTTACTCACTCTCATGTCGTTCCAAATTCATATGACTTTCTTTCTGCCATGAAACACAAACTGAGATAGTTAGAAGAATGTTCTAGTCGCTCTTTTCCAAGCAATTACAATGAATTGAGCTTTTAAGCATCAAAAAGGATGCAAACGGTCCCTTAAAGTACAGTATATATAATTTTTTTTAGATTTCTGCTTTTGTTTTCTACACTAAGCCATAGACTGAAACAGTGTTAGGCAATGCTTTCTTGGCTGTTGATAGTGTTTTGTTAATTTACAGGCCACAGAGGGGACGTTCAGTAAGGAAACCTTTGATGAGCTGTGCTGGACGTTGACATCAAAGAAGAACTGCAAACCCAGCATTCAACAGGGCCTGTGTTCACAGAAAGACTGCTTCAAACTCTTCTGTCTGTTCAACCTGCTCTCTGAAGACCGTTATCCATTAGTCATCATTCAGCCGGAGGTAAGTGAGAGAGAAAGAGGGGCAGATGCAGAGATAAGACATAGTTGCAAAAAAGCATAGCTGAAATGATACAATATAACCAGACTCTGGCTGAAATTTAAAAAATGTTAATATGTAAATCTCATAAAAATATGTATGTAAAGGTAAACAATATCAGACTAAAGCATTCAGAGACTGGACACCATCTAATGCTGGTTAGACTTCCACACTATTGGTTAGAGTCCACACTAATAAGTTCAGTCTGTTCTTCATTTTGTGAACAAAGCCGTTTTATGATGCTTAAGTGAGAGTTGACACTTAAAGCAAGACTGTAAATGTGAGAATCTAAAAGTTGGTTATTCAGACAAAGTTGAAGTGGTCTGAAGCTACAGTATGGTGTTGCTTTTTTGTTTTAAGGAAGGAAGTGACATGAGGAATGGAACTTCATATAGTGAAAGTGGGTTGATTTCCTGATGATAACACTTGTCAAAAGAATATTTTTAATCAAGTAACCAAATCTAAGATGTTGTAACTTGCATTTCTTGTTTTTTTGTCATCTGTATTCTTTCATCTCACCCCCATTTGGTTTTCTTCAACATATAACAAATTAAACCCTTTGAATTCACTTTGTATGGGTGAATCTCATGATAAAAAACATATTTGTCATTAAATATGTCATATTTTAACAAATAAAATGTGTTTTTCCTTAAAGAAAATTAAACCTATATTTAGTCATAAGATAACATTTGAATACATTATATTTTAATTTATTTTACTTTAAATGTAAAATATATTTTTATTTTACTAAAATAACAAAATAAAATACAGTTTATTAAATTAAATTGTGTTTTATTTATTACTCCCACGCTATATCCCAATTGTATTTTATTTTATTTTATTAGTGGGAGTAATGGTAATTTCATAATGATGATAATAATAATAATAATAATAATAGTTTTTTTGTGAGATTCGTCAATAACTATCTTAAAATAGACTTTAGATTCAAATATTTTACCAATGCACTTGCTTTAATAGCTCATATGTTGCAGATGCTAATGTGCCAACCCAAAGTAATGAATGCTCTTTTGCCTCTGATAATTTAGTTAGAGTACCTGCTGAAGAAAATCTCCAGTGCAATGAGCCTGGAGTGGGACGGGACGTTACTGGAGGAACTTTTGTCCCAGAATGTTACTCTTGAGGACGGCATGTCAGTGTGGGAGTTCCTGGAGCATTTGAGTGCTGGCCAGCTTTTGCATGTTGAGAGTAAGGAGGCCTTCAGTCTCGCTGTGGACGATGTTTTCATGGAGATGTACCACAACATTATCAAGAAGGTGACTGATGCTTTAAGTGCAGCGCACTAGGTTGATGCTGTATTATGTGTTACCTCATGGGAATCCTAGTAAATGAATACAAATAATCTGCAACTCAACATATTACTAACACTTAACATCGGCCTAATGTTTGATTCTTGACAGAATAGTCCTTCCTGCATTGTGTAAGAGATGGCATGTCATTGCCATAATCATTTACAATGTTTTTAGTCCCATTCTATCTGTTTCATATTTGCTTTATCCATCAGGGCTACCTGTTAAAGAAGGGGCACGTTCGCAGGAACTGGCAGGAACGCTGGTTTGTTTTGAAGCCCAGTAGTGTGACATACTATGTCAACGAGGACCTGAAGGAAAAGAAAGGAGAGATCCTGCTGGAGGAGAGCAGTGTAGTGGAGGTTGATCAGCAATAACTGTATTCCACTGTAAAATAAAAATCATCAATGCATTAGGCCTCATAACGTTCTCATTTCTCGTCATTACACTCAGAATCTCCCCGATAAAGAAGGGCGACGCTGTCTGTTCTGTGTGAAGACTCCCGTCAGGACCTACGAGATGAGTGCTTCAAACGTGAAGCAGAGAGTAGACTGGGTACAAGGTAAGGGCCGTACAAACAAATAACACTGCTACTTTCTTGTCAAAGTGTCCTAGTTTCTTGAACGATGATGTCTCGTTTTATAGCCATGCAGACAGCATTGAGATTGAGGGCAGAGGGGAAGAACTCTCTCCATCAGGAGCTGAAATTGAGCAGACGCAAGCAGAGAGAAACCCTTCAGAGAAGCCAGAGCAACCAGAGCAGCCACAGTGAACCCATTTCAGTCGAGGCGCCGCTGCACTCTGCTCCAGAGCAGCAGGGGGAGACGGAGAGCTTGGAGCAACACATTGAAAGCATCATTCAAGTAACTGATGGGGAGCAGGGCAAAAGGGAAATGTTCGAAATAGCATGCTACCATATTAATCTTACTGTATCTACAGCATACAGTTTGTGTACTGTGCACATTATGCACATTTTGATCTGCCTACATTTCCTAAAATGTGCAGTATATAATATAGCAATGGTTTTCAACCAGGGGACCTCAGCAAACTTCTAAGTGGGCTGAAAGTATTTTAATTAAAACATTACATTAAAAAAGTAATCAGTAAAAAAGTTTGAAAACAAGCAGCTTTGTCAAAATTACAGCATTCTGTTTCATTAAAATGTGTTGCCACACTACATCCGCTTCTTATAACACATTTTTTAACAGATTCATGCACTTGCATTACTATGACAAATACATTGACATGACATTGTGATGTATTTAAGGGGATATCAGATGAAATTTTCGCTTTTTTTGTTTGTTTTTGCATTTAGTTTCTAGGGTGTCCGCCAGCTCCGGAAACCTGAAAAGAAAACACGCTGCCAATTTGTTATGGGCTGTCTGAGTCAGAAACTGTCTTCCAGTGAGCTGTTTCAGTTTGCAACTGGTTTCTATGTAGATAGCTAGAAATTTGAATAAGACCACCTTTGAGCCATATAGGGATATATTCATGTGTCTTTTGATGTCACGCCTCATGGAAGAGAGGGGAGACATGCACCGAAACAGGTCGCTGTGAGCAGAGCTGATTTTGACAGGGTAAAAAGAGTGTTGTTTTACATGACCACTGAAGAATTTTAACTAGGATGACCATACATCCTCTTTTCCCTGGACATGTCCTCTTTTTGAACCAAAAAAATGTGTACGGGTGGGATTTCTAAATCGCCCAAAATGTCCGGGATTCGGCTTTTGCTTTCTACAGTTGCCAATCATTGTGTGCGTTTTTGTATTAAAGCCCTGCACGGGACTGTTTTCTGAATCCCACTCCCAATTTCTGACCATCACCGCCTGCTCCCGCAAACATTCTAATTTTGAATGAATAATAATTTTCGCGCATCAATATGTGGAGCATTTAAATCACTTTGGATGCAGCTCGTGTTGGATGCAGGGTTGCCAAATGCGCATTTTTACCACGCAATTGGGCTGTTTTTAAACTGTTGCAGCGGGTTGACTTTCTCCTGTGGGTTAAACTAAAGTCCCTATTCTATAGTCTTTGGTTAAACTAAGCTTTGAAATATTGCATACATTACATTTGACTGAAATGCTTGAATTAAAAATGTTTGCATTAAACCTATGATAAAACTGTGAATATCTCTTTGGATTTGAGACTTTAGTCTTTGCAACTTTACAGATCTTCTTTATGCACCAAGAGCTTGTAACACTCCAAAGAGAAAGGAAAAATTGAAATTGCATCATATGACCCCTTTAAGTTTCGTAAAGGATGACCACTGGTAGGAAGCCTTTTTGCTGTGTTACCATCAATCTGCAAAACGGTGTATGTACAGTATATTAGGTATGGAAATGACAAATTTTGAGTTTTGATATGGGATATGGTCATTGCACTACTTTGAGCCCCCCCCCAACCCCAACCCCAATATATGCTTTTAACTTCAAGAGTTTAAACATTATTATACCAAATAGGATCAAATATACAAAATACAAAACCATATTCATAACTGAATAGCATAATAAACTCTATAGTCTCATAATAAACATGCCACATGACAATCATAAACCATGGCCATACTACTGTTTTTATATGTTTGTGGTTATGTAATGTGTTCTGTTTCACATATTATTTTTAAAAAGTAGTTGGTAGTATAGGCTATGTGCTGTGCAGTATTCAGTAAAAAGTTTAATTCTGAACTTAGCATGTGATATTTTGTCTTAAAAATTCTGAGCATGTGTTTTTGTTTGTCCCCCAGAAACAGAGGGAGGTGGAAGCAAAGCGTAAAGAGGAAGAGAAGCAGGAGCGAGAGAAACAGCAGGCAATACAGAGAGATCTGGAGAGACAGCTTGAAGAAGCTAAAGAGGTGAGACAGAGAGAAAAGTTTTTCTGTTTCCTTAAAATGGGTTTTCACACTACACCCGCTTAAACACATCTTAACACATTCATGCACTTGCATTACTGTGACAAATCCATTTACTTAAAACAGCATTTTAGTACTAATAAAGCAGTTATATGACACTAGCCGAGTTTCCATTACCCTTCAAATTGTGCAAATTGAAACTGCGATTTGAAAATAAAGCTAATGGAAACATGTCAGTTTTGCAAAAACTCCCATATATGGCAAAAAGGTTTTTATGCTCGCATGAGGTGGTTTTTCAGGCAATTCGAAAACGGAATATATCACAAAACTGCAATGGAAACAGGTTTTATTTTCGCATTTAAAGGTAACCTGGCATATGTAAAAGTCACATGATCATTCTTTAATGTACTATAACCTCCAAGAAACATCTCGTATGTGGCCACTCGCAAGTATAAAGGGCTTTCCTTGCCATTAATGCTTGGATAACCCCGTATTTACACTGCACACGTGACACATCTGTGGTGCATTATGACTCCGACATGGTCACTCTAGTCCAGGGTTCCTCAAATCTTGCCCTGGAGGGCCAATGCACTGCAGAGTTTAGCTCCAACCCTGATCAAACTCACCTACCTGTGTTTTTCTAATGATCCTGAAGACATTGATTAGCTTGCTCAGGTGTGTTTGATTAGGGTTAGAGCTAAACTCTGCAGGAAAGTGGATCTTGTGGGCCAGATTTGAGGATCCCTGCTCTAGTCTATGCTATTATTATTATTTTTACTGACCCCATATATTTGAACGATATAAATATTAGTCCTTAAGACGGGACATTGTAGTGTTAGAGCATTAGAAACAATATTGATTAAGTTGCTAATTATATAGGCCAAAGAGAAGATGACAGCTACATTGACTGCGATGGAGAAGGAGGTGCAGCAGCAGAAGAAAAGGATCCATGAATTAGAGCTCACACAAGTTAAACTGGAGGAGGCTCTCAATGCTCAGATTCACGACCGTTTAGAAGAAGACAGAATCCGACAGGAACTGGAGAGGTACAGCAGATTTCATAATATTTCATTTTGTTCATCTTTGCCAACACACAAGGACATTATACTTTATAGGCAACTTGCAGAGGAGCAGAAGAAACTGGCAGAGCTTCTCCTCCATCAAAGTCAACTGGAAACTCTTGCTGTGAGGAGTCAGGAGGACTCTTCCACCACAACACCTCCCATCAGTCAGCAAACAGAAGAGAGCAGTCAACACAACACAGAGGTGAGAGACAAATGTGTGGAGAAATAAAGAGAGTAAAGGGAGAGGATGTTTTATAGGGTTGGTTAAATCTGGTTTTTGTTCCATTTCATATTATATTAGCAAAACATTCATAATTTACAGTATTTTTCCATGATCCTTTTCATTGCCTCTCTGATTCTTACAATCAAAGCAGTAAATCAAAGGTCATTACTGTCAGAGAGCTGCCTGAACTCAACAACCCTCTCTAACAGGTTCAAAAAGATGATTATCGTCAACACTGTCAAAACAGACAGTTTCATTCACTCCTTCAAGTGAAATACATTAGTAGAGTAATGTAGGGGAATAGTCAATGAGGTGTAATTTGGGATACAGCCTCTGTCTAAATGATGTCGAGTTAGCATTGGTAACTGTCAATGCTAATGAAAATAATGAAGAGGCTTTCTGTTGGTTTTCAACCGACTGGCTGATTTTTGTCTGATTTGAATGGTTCTGTTTGGACACAATGTCTCCAATCAAACAAAATGTGTCCATCAAGCCCTGTGTGATGACCTGTAGTACTGATAAAAATATGTTAAAAGAACATTCTGGGTTTAGTACAAGTTAAGCTGAATGATTAGTTCAAGCAAAAATACAACCTTTTGTCGTCATATACTGGAATATTTAATTAAAAAAATCACATTTGCCCTTGGCTGTGACCCACCTTACATTTCAGAATTTTTGAAGTTTTTGAAAGTCTCTTATCCTCACCAAAACTGCATTTATATGATAAAAAATAGAGTACAGTAATATTTTTAATAATTAATATTGCTGATAATACAGTACAATTCTATTTTAATATATTTTAAAATATAGTTTATTCCTGTGATGACAAAGCTGAACTTTCAGCAGAAGCAGCAGTTCACATGATCCTTCAGAAATCATTCTAATATGTTGATTTGGTGCTCAAGGACCATTTATTATTATAACTGTTGAAAACAGTTGTGCTGCTAATATTTTTGTGGAAACTGTGATCATTAAAATAAAAACAGCATTTATTTATTTATTTTTTGTAAAATTAGGTCTTTGCCATCACTAATGATCAATTTAGTGCATCCTTGCTGAATGTTTTTTTTTTTTACTTACTGACCCAAATTTTTGAACAGTGTCATAACACACTGTATCACATCACACACGTTTGAAAATGGAGAAGTGTGAATGAGATTTGGACCAAAGGTTTACTTTTGGGTGAGTTATTCCTTTGAAGGACAGTTTTGCTACTGTATCTTTAAGATTTCTTCATGTAAATGCCTTTTTTATAATTGACTGAAGTCCATGAGCCTGCGTAGTTCACACAGTCGTGAACATTTAACGCAAGCATTGCTTAGCTGGACCACCCCTGTTCTAATTACAGCTTGTTTAGTAGTTCATTAACAAACACCTTTTATTTTAAAAGGAGGTACCTCTCCATGAATCGACTTCCACTGCAACACCACCCAACATCCAGCAACCAGAGCAGAGCGGTCAGCACAACACAGAGGTGAGAGCCTAGAAATGTATGGGTCTAACGGAAAAGGGCCATTTGCGCTACATACTGTAAATGATGCTTCAAATCATGCCCTATTACTTTAAGTTCTGACCCCATGCCATATTCTATGTATTTCTATACAGAAAGAATTGCTGAATCAGTCTACTACCACTCAGATGCTGAAACACTGGAAGATTCAGCTTAACCACCTCATGAAGCCTATCACACCAGGAGGTAAGATATAATGTCAGTCCCAGAATTTTTATGACATAAGTAGTTTTCAACTGTCACGTGAATATGAAATAAACAAGATATGTTCCGAATTAAAAGAACCAAAGACTTAAACTACTTCAGTCTGTGTGCACTGAATTTATTTAATACACGAGTTTCACAATTTGAGTTGAATTACTGAAATGAACATTTCCACGGCATTCTAATTTATTGAGATGCACCTGTATAAGCAACCATAAACAGCTGTTTTTTATTTGTCTGCTCATTTACAGACAAAGTTGAGCATCTGTCAGTAAAGCCCACCTGCCCCAGACAGGGCCAGGCCCTCACCAGCACAGAGTTCATTGCTAAGGTTCAAACAGGCATCAGCCCAGAAAAAGGAAATGGTTACAACCCATCACCAACACAAGAAGAGGAAGAACAGGGTTCCTAAATCTGTGTCCTAAATCTGTATATCTATGATGGATTAGATTATACATGTTTTGTACGGCTGGTTTGCCCTGTGTGTTAGGCTGCAGGTTGAAGTCTTATCTTATTATTTATGTACATAGTAATCAGCTTTTTATTATGTACCGTAATATGCACAAAATGAATAGTAAAAATAGATTCAGGAGGCGTTGCACTGTTTGCTGGCAGTAGTCAAACAGACGTTTTAACTCTTTAAATAAGTGGTTGTCCATTTCAAGTTTCCCTATTGGCAAAGAAAATATTTTAAAAATGTTCAGGTGCTTCTGCTGTAATGAAGACTTTTGTGTATACAGAAACTAGGAGTTGCGATATATTAATATTAATCATTAAAATTCCAGAAGTCTTATCATTCATTATCTGAACGTTTTCCAGCATTTACATTACAAATGAATTAACATGACTTTTCTAGTCATTTGTGTGTGTGTGTGTGTGTGTGTGTTTTCACCTACTAATAGCAATTTCTCACCCAATAAAATATTTTAGAACATGGCATAAACAGGAAATATGATCAAAGTCTACTTCAAGTTGTTGAGGCAACAAATTAAACTAAAAAATGTCATCTTACATTTTGATCATTAGTTGTTTTAGCTTATTTTAATGATTTTTTTTTGTGTGTGTCTTGTTTAAATCATTTTAGTTCATCTTAGAAGTTTGCTCTGGGCTCCAGGCCAAGAACCCACCTCTTCAGATAATGCACTGGAATCACAGTTCATTTTGTGGTTTTGTTATGATGTGTAATTCTATGTTTGGACAGTAGAGGGGGTGCTTGGTCTGGGCTACAGTTTCACCTGTTTATATACAGTCTATGAGTTTCACCCCAAAATCAAAAGCACATGTATCTACTTTTTTCAGCAGCACTTTCCCGCCTCAGCCCTATAGATCAGGAGGATCAGAAAAGTCATTCTGGGAATCCAATCAACGTACTTTTTTATTTGCTAATCATGTTTTTAACTTGACGGACCAAGTTGAAACAATTAGGACACCCCCATTTTGTGCTAAAAAGTGTAAGGAATCATGAAATCTATTTATAGATCCATAGGCCAGCAAGAAAGTACAGTTGAGTTTGTGGCTTTGAGGCTTCTGTTGAGAATGAATAATGGTTCTCTTTGTTAGTTTTGGATGGTCATCAACAGACTGTAAATGATCTTTGTAAAAAAAAAAAACGTGGCCGTGATTTCTCCAGATACAGATCTGTTCCCCCTTTGGTTTGGAGGGTTTCTACCTGTGGGTCTAGAGATCTGAGGTTGTGACGAGAGGAATTGTCAGGTCCAGAGATGAGGAAAGATCAAATGCGATACTTAAACCCTTGTTTCACTACTTCTGTAATAGTAAATTGTATCAGTATGCTCTTTTAATAATTTAATCTAGATATTCTTTGTATTTCAATATCCTGGGCCCTAGTAAATTCACCAAAAAGTAAATAGCCTTTAGCTGCAATTTAACAGAAGTTGCTACAGATATATTTTTTCCCCCACTGACTGTTGTGATGTATATCAGAGTGAGATGGATTATCGAACAAGAAAAAATATAAGGGGTGGGACTTGGTTTTGTCCATTGGTTGTTGATGGGATATGAAGGGGGATCTAAATGTGAGCTTATAGTCAGTTGTAAGAAAGGGGTGAGGTTACCATTTAAGTGGACTACGTGATTGGAGAATTCCAGCATACATCACCAAAGAGAAGTCTGTCGTTTCACACAGTAAATGTAGATGCCTTATTAGTGGCTGTATGGCCGCTATTCATAAGCCATCTGCCATATTGGAATGGTCAAAGGCTGGTCAATGAACACTTGAGAGCAAGTTGACTGTGTGTCTGTAACCATAGTTATACACATGTATGAATATCTGCATCTGCAATAGACTTCAGAGGATGATTTTGGTAAACTAACACAACACGACAATACAAAGGCAGCTAACACAGCATCAAAAGTTACCATAGTTCCAAAACCTGTAATATTGAGTTAATAAAAAACAAACCATCACATTTTTTACCTGTGAAAGGTGATCCTATTTCTTTGAGAATTAAAATCTTGGTGTTTTTTTACAACCCAAGGCTGTGCAATGTTGTGGCATCTTGGAAAACACATTGATTATTACCGTGACTGACGACACATTGACCGTTCCAATATGGTGGACGCCTCTACATGTGTGGAGTGGCTAAATGTGGCATCTATGGCTCCAGACACATAAGCGCGTCCACCATCTTGTAATGGCCAACGTGACATGACTCAAAGTACACAGACGAATCACTCACAATGCGATTAATAACATGCATTTAGAATATAGAAATGCTGAAATTCCATTCACAAGCGTCACTCATTATCATACTGTACATTGGGTGGATATTTTGGTTATTTTTTTAATGCTTTTGTAATGCTTATTTTGTTATTCTGACAGCAGATTTTGGGGCTTGTTAATTTGTAATGGGAAAAAGTGGTTTCAAATGAAGTTCTCTTGAGGTTTATTTTGCAATTAGAAGCAGATTTCCTGTGATTATTACATTCACATTAAACCGAACTGGGGCTTCAATCGCATTAAAATGCTGCGTACTGTTAAGTTGCGCTTTCGTAACCTGTCCTGTTTCACACAATAATGTCGGCAATATTTTCTACCCAACACTCAATATTTAACCTATTGTAGAACGAGCCTCCTTCTGGAGTGAACCATGGCAGGATATATTATAATGTGTCTCCTGCAAGTTTGTCATTGTGAAAGCAATATGTCTCTGCACCCAGCTGCTTCCCATGAGGAAGTGTTTTATGAGAACCATATTAGAGCAACACACATGCCAACTTCTATAGTATTTCTGCAAGCGTTTAGCTGCCGTGCAAAGTGATCATTGATTTAGCACATATTTATCTGCTCAATCTGCTCAAGGACACCAGATGCATTTGGAGTGGTGGAGCGGAACATTTTCGGCTGGCCCTGTAAGCCATTAAGCACAGTAGATGCTTTCAGTTGGCTTCTGTCTCTCATGATCGACGACTCTGTTTTAGGGTCTGGTAGCGGCACTACCCCATTTATGTATTAACAGCGGGTCCACCCTTAACCCGAGGATACATGTCTGATACAAAACCACCTGTAATTATATTCTTCATGCAAGACCAACTTCCTTCAGTGCATTTCACAGGCCAGAAAAAACACGACATGAACCGCAGAATGGAAAGCAAATGACCCAAAATACTCCGGCACTTCTGAGGATTCAAAGGGGAACTCGGGCCTTTTGTTGTTTCAGCTGGAGCACTTGTCCCCACATCTTGTTTATGAAAAAACTGGAACGATTGATGTCGAAGTCCTTTGAACGTTTGATTCAGATGAATGGGTGTCAGATGGCTTGGCTTATTATGGTCTGGATGATTTCATCCTTGAATGGGACAGCAAGAAAGTTACATCATGCAATAATGTTTAGGCATTATCACAAACATTCGGTCTGTCCTCTCAAGATCAGGTTTAATCAATGTAACCTTCGCAGAGTGTTTCCCAGTGTAACATGAGCGATTGCTTAAAATCAAAACTAAAAAAGAAATGAATGTGACTTTGGATTCGTTCTATAATGCCTTGGTTACTATTTGTTCTGTTCCTTAGCAGAGCCATTATAATGTATTCATTGGAAGGTGATTTTCGCCTGTTCCACCATATAGGTCTTGACCCCCTTGACTGGCTGTGTGTAGTAACTGAAATCTTGTTTTATTAATAGATTGTGGTCTGTCCTCTCAAGATCAGGTTTAATCAATGTAACCTTCGCAGAGTGTTTCCCAGTGTAACATGAGCGATTGCTTAAAATCAAAACTAAAAAAGAAATGAATGTGACTTTGGATTCGTTCTATAATGCCTTGGTTACTATTTGTTCTGTTCCTTAGCAGAGCGATTATAATGTATTCATTGGAAGGTGATTTTCGCCTGTTCCACCATATAGATCTTGACCCCTTGACTGGCTGTGTGTAGTAACTGAAATCTTGTTTTATTAATAGATTGAAATTACCACGGTAATTACAGGTTTATATTAAGACAATATCTCAGCTCTAAGAGGGTCACTTACACACAGAAGCTCATTTGTTTCTTTCAAACATATTTTATAGTTTTTAAATAATATAAACCAAAAAATAATCATTACTAAAGATTTTTTAAAGAATTGGCTTGTATTTATTAGAACGCTCTCGTAAATTCAAGTTCACGGGCTTTTATTTTGAAATCCAGTCTAGACGGCAGGCGGAAGTAAAGGTGTTTATGTGCGCGCGTGTGTTGATGGCAACCTCCAGTGACAGCATGCAGAACATAAACAGCGCGCTCTGTCAAATAGCCACAGAAAAACTTACAAACACGCATCTCACAACTTTGCAAACTGTGACGAAAGCTTTACGGGCTGAGCAGTTCAGGTACTACACATTTCCCACTTTGTAAAATGAACAGAAATGTGTGTTTAAATGTACAGTATGTGTCGGCAGAGTATGGGTTACATATTTAGATACAGGTTAAAGAGCTGTTTATTGCAAATCTTTAGCGTTTCTGAATGCTGTGTACTTTCACATGAACCAATTTTTCTGACACATGCATTAATGCATGAAGAAAATGTCAGGATGCATGAACTGCCATACATATTCATCAAATTGAAAAAAGTCTGACAGTTTCTGTTTTGTTTCAGAGCCAGTGTTGACAGGGAGGCTCTTCGAAGCCTCTTTGCAGTGTTGTCAAGACTTTCTGTGGATGTTGAGCATTTGATTGAGAACATGGATTCACAAGAAGAAGAAGCATCTGTATGTCTTAAACTCACTGCAGAGTGTTTCAGAGCGCACAGAAATGCCTGTGTGCAGTGCGCTCAAAAGCAGTGCTGTCTGAGGTAGTGTACAGTGTCCAGAAAGCCTGAGATTACTAATACAAATGCCTCAAGTTTGCATATTTAATTGTAATGTTTAATTACAAAGTATATCCTTGGCATAAATATGTGAGTAAAATGTTGAAATTGTAGCAAATTAAATGCCTAAATATGTTATATAATATTGTTGTATCTATAATTATATTACATAAATAAACATTTAATGTATTGGTATAATATGTTCCCTATTTAATGACAGCAGCACTCAAGCTGCATGAACTGAAGTTTGTGTAAAACTTGTGTGAATATGGGCCTGCAAATAATGCAGAATCATAACAAATTTTAGGTATAACTTTATTATGCAGTCCTGTTTTGCATGTACATACAATGTAGATACTATACTTATTATAGTAATTGCAATAACTGGGTAATTTCAAGGTGCTAACCCTGAACTTGACCCTAAACTGAACCTTAACTCATGTAGTTACCATATATTTCCCAGTACTTTTGTAAGTGCATGTACTGTAAAAAAAAAAAAAAAATGTATGTCATAACTGTGATTCCCCCCCCCCCTAGTATTTCTCATATTTTTAAATGGTCTCAGACTTACGGACACTGTTTATAGCATCATAATCATTATTAGTATATGAATATGACTGTGGCCTGTGAGCTTTATAAACCAGAAAAACAAAAGCATTTATATCTTCACAGAGATCTAGGCTCTATCAAGCTATCTTTTGAGATTTTGGCCAGACTCCTGAAGATTTCATCAGGAGGTTCAAATGACATTTATGACGGTGAGTTTCAAGTGTTTCAGCTGTATGGAGGGTAACGGGCAGATAAATCAATGCATGACTCTCTCCTTTGGCAGCACTTCGATGTGGGATTCAGTTTCTTGGTAACATTGCTGTTGGAAACCAGCTTTGCAAAGATGACATCTGGGAGCTTGGTTTCCCGCACATCTTCTGGTGAG